AGACACATGCAATACAGAAGTACAAAGATCTTAATTTCCTGCATTACTATTTAAAGATTTAAAATCACAACGAAAGAATCCAGCTGATATCTAGAGAAAGTTCTGAATTTCTACTGCAATCACGTGTTTTGAGGATTCGTATTCAGTACTATTCTGCCATCTCAGAGGTTTATTTCCAGGTATTACCTTTCACAGCTCAAGCTGAAATACTTGTGTAATGGAGAATTTAAGGACACGTGATTTGTTGGTATCGACAAGTGAAATGCATGGTGGGTACAGACAAACTAACACAAACCTTTAGCCCTTCCATTTACGAAATCTTTCATGCCTCCTATAAATACTATCAAAATATCAACCATACTGTGCTCCTAAATTGTCAAAACGTTTAAGAATTACTGCAAAATGTCAGAGAATTTGCAACTAGACAATACTTTAAGATAAATTTCTCACACTTCTCTCAAAACCTACAAAGTTAAGCAAGCACACTACCTCATATCAAAAGTTGCACATTTTGCTTGATTCACTAAGAAAGGAGGTTCTTTTCTATCTTACAGCTTTCTGATTCTCATCCAGTAGTTACTTAAGGTAAAAAAGTCTAACAGAGTATCCACAATTCCCTGGMCATAATTAAACTGAAACAAGTTCAACCATCAAAAGACACAAAAAGCCTTGTTATGAATTCATGGAACTAAAAAACATTTTTGTAGAATATGAAACATCCCAACTTATACCATATTCATTTTCATTTGACCTATTATAGACCTCCCTGCTCCCCTTATCATCTAATAGAGAGGATTTCCTATAAGTTTTCTGTGTAGTCAAAACAAGAAGTGATTCTATGTGTTTTGTGTCATCTGTGTCTTTGCATAATTTCATTAATTCTGCTCTTAAATAACTACAATATTTTGAGAACTATATCACTTCAAATATCCTCAATTTTGTTACTGCGACTCAGTAAGTTCTTCCTCAATCACAATACAACCAGGAGCATAGCAGTTTCTGATTGGCTCTCATTTTGTTTGATTCTAACACAAGTCATGATTGGTCAGTTGGTCATTAGGTCATCACACTTGACAGGTCTTGTTTGAATGTAAAAAAGTAAGCAGGAAAGTACACGTGTGCCTTTATCATCACCCAGACCTTAACCAAAATAATGTTCAAAATATATGTAACTGCCCTAAATTGG